TTTTTCAAGTAGCGAGGTGACATTTTTAATATTGGACAGGGATATTATCAGGTCACTGTTATTCTCGTGATACAACATGAGTTTTCGAAGCCCAATGTGAAAACAAGACAAAAAGTACGAATTTTTTGGACTGCAGTGTCCATTATTTTGATCAGGATATCTCTCCAACCATGAAAGCTCAGCATCGAGCAACTTTCCCGGAAGATGTCATCTTTCTGGAACAATTAAATATTAATATAAATCCAATTTGGGGACCGGTTTCGTTAACGACTGGATCTTGATGTAACATCTACGGACTCCATAGCTTTTCTCATCGTAGGCAGCCCCTCCTATGATTGGAAAATATTGTCGGTGACTTGATCTGATGCCAAGAATTAAGAGATTCTGCCTCCGACTACGTTAGGCCGCCCTTATACATACACGTGGTGTATTTTGTTTTTAACACACAAACTTTGTATTTCTAAGCAAAGTTGTACTCAGACCTTGATTTGATAACAAAATTAGTAGTTTAAATTTGTGCAATGTTAATCAATTGGCTAAACTTAACGTATTTAAAAGGATTTCTTGTTAATTATTTAAATAATTAAATAATAATTTTTTTAATAAAAAAAATTAAATTTGAATCGTATAATAACATATAAAAAATAATTTTTTAATAAGTGTAAAAAAAAAAATAAAATTAAAATTAAAATTGGGTCTGACAAACTGGTATTTGCTTGATTCTTCCTCTCTGATTAAGCAAGTTGGTATCCATGACAAACTAATAATTGAATTGATGAGATGAACTGTTTCATTTTCAACAAAGACATCCTATTTCTAGTCAAATGAGGCTGCCCACGTAGTTAATACCATTCGAAGACTATGATTCTAGTTGAAAATCCATAGCCAGACATGAAAAATAGCTGTAATTCTGTAATGTTCAATGATTAATTTTTATGTTTAATTATGCTTTTTTTTTTTCTCTTACATCTTACATTAAAAAATAAAAATAAAAAAACCCTGCAGAATCTAAACCTTCCACCTGAAAACTTACATTCAAGAAAAGTAACAATCATTGCTAAATATACTTATTGAGGGCATGGCCAAAATCTTCACTTTTGCCAGTTTCTTCACCTCCGGCTTGGACTAAAAGGCCGTGTTCAATTTGCACAGATCCTTGTGATGCTTCTTCCAGCAAATCACGAACAAAACAGAAACAATGCTTTATTTACAAGCATCAGTGTTACTTTTTTTCAGGAAACAAAGGATCGCCCTGTGTTTTTAACATATGACAAGCGGAGGATCGGAGTTCTGTTTTGTGAGAATAACCTAGGCACCTGTTACACATGAGAACATTCTATGGCTTCCAAATCTCACCAACTGCTTGCTTGCTTTAGGAGAAGCATCAGTTCTGCTATGATCCATGGAGGGAAACCCCACAGAGAAGTCTCCCATAGACTTGTACCGGCGGTGGTGGCTGTCGCTCTCAGGCTGGAAACTGCCTGCCTTTTCAGTTGAAGATGTCAAATGCACATGGCTTTGCCCATCCATGTAGAAGTCTGCAATGTTGTAGCTCTGAGCAGCGCCTGTTGAGAGACACTGGTATCGTCGGTGAGTTCTGTTCCTCTTGATAGCCTTGTAAACCATAGGAATCAAACCCTCCATGTTTTTTGAGGAAGAAAACAGAGGATAAAGTGTCAAAAATTTTGAATTGAAAGAAGCAAAGAGAAGGAAGACTTTGGTTTGTTGGAATTAGTGGTGTGGAATAAATCATCTCATCTCATATATTATATACATATATACATACACAATGTCCCCACATCCATTTCTTGTAGGACATGGTTTAAAGTCCAGCACGGCATTTTGATCTTGACTTGGAAAACATCCAAACTAATCCAATGCATCATTTTTCTTAAAGCCTGGCTTTTTCAGATAAAATAGATCCAAGGACTCTTTAAACGGTTTTCAGAAGCTGAATGAAACGTGCACTAATGCTTGGTACGAACTGAAGAAGTATTTCTTTCCATAGAAGGCACCAGACAAGTTAGAGATACACCAAAACCATTTGCTCAGCTATGTTGATATAAAAAATTATTATATTCAATAACAAAATGTTGCCAATTTGCCAATTAATCAAATACATAAATGGAATCCCGCCCACCTGCTTACGTTCTCGGAACTTATACAAACAAGCATCCTTCAAATGAAAAATAAACAACGTGTCAGTCCAATATGGCAATATCAATGGACATCAGCAAAAATGTGTATATTTAGAAGATGAATACCGTCTAGAAATAAAAACATAAGTTCAAAGCAATACGAAATGCTGTTGTACACGCTAAAGAAAGAAGTTTAAGGATTAGAATGAATTTAAAATGGGCTAACGGTTTCTTACCTTCCTTAACCATTCTCTTAATTATAATTTGTTTGAGAGAGTATATTATTTGGTTATGGTATCTTGGTTGACTTGTTCTGGTTTAGATAAAGTCCATCCAGTTGAAAACATCCAAACCTAGATGCACCCCCTAGATTCTAGCTTCTGATTTGTTGATATAATAGAGGTTGAACTTAATTAGTTAAATCCACCCAACCATCAAGCATATTATTAATAACTTGGAAAAATTCAACCTTAAAATCTCATTGCTAAAGGTTAACAGTGAGTAGTGACAAACTAAATATCTCTGGGATGGAGAGTTGCAATTCAGTTTTGGTTTTGGCGCTACTACATGCATAATCTTTTCTCACAATGGAATCCCGCAATAACCATATGGTATCACTGGTATTGTTCTTTCTCCTTTTTCTGTTGTTTTTGTGATATGTTTAGGAGCTAAGTTCCTATCTTGTTGAAATCATCCATTCTATCCTCTTGTAAGGTTTCCACAAGTTAGGTAACATATTGAAGCAGGCAAAATAGAATGAAAGTTATTAGCTCTTAATGATTCAATGCTCTCAACCACCCTTGACATATAATAAAGTACATAGGTCGACTTTGTGAACCACCATTCTTATCTTTGTTTGAGCTTGATTTTGTCAACTGGACAGCAACAGGAATGCTACATTAAGGGATCAGTTATTGGGCTAAGTTCATACTAGATGATGGATGACGTGAAAACGATCAGGATGACTTAATCAAGTTTAGGTGTAGGAGTTGCAATCTCGTGGGGCTGCTGGCTTCAGTTGCCAATTATAATATTAGGCTTAGAAGCTCAAAAGCTGACTCTGTCAATGTCTACTAATATAACATGTAATATATTTCTTACTCATAATTATTAGTTTCAAGTATTAAATTTCCAGATATTTTCCAAATTCAATTATAATATTCTCATTCATTATACCAATTAACATAAGTACTAGTGCAACTTCAAATTTTAGCATATGTTATGTTCCATACTCTAGCTCCATTTTGAGCTGAACTCAAGAGCATGTTCAAAGTTACATATTCTTTCTAAAATAAGACGAAACTAAGATAGCTGAGCTCCAGTTGAACTCAAATCATCCTTTAATATTGATTTCTTATGCCAAGTCAAGCAGGCATTGCCTAGTTTTATTCAGCTTAATGCTGATCAATCCCTGACCCCAGTTCACAACATCTTCTTCAGGGCACATTTGAGACGCTTCATGTAATAGGACCAAACTGACTAATCTCATTTGAAGAGATTGCTACACCAGTAAAACAATTATCCAATCAAATAAGCAACTAGTCAAATTTGTCTTTCAACTTTTACTCATTCATAAGTTCTTTATTTCAGCATAGAGATAGACTTAAGGAAGAGCTTGCTAATGAAATCCAGTCGATAAAATCTAAAGGTAATAATCATAAAGAAATTATTATTATTATTCAAGAGAAGAACAAATGAAATAGAAATTATCAAAATGATAAAGTACAATAGTGGTCCTTGTATACTGATCCTCAACCCTTTACAATAAAAATCACTTCAACCTGGGGTTGGCCAGACTCACTTTGGCAGAATGAAGGAATTTAGAAATTTTCTATATTTCAAACAGGCTGTTTTTGTAGCAGAGACTCCAATTTGAATCCTCCGAACTGACCAGGCCCCCTCCATCAGTACTAATGGATTCTGCACATGAATGTTTCAATAGGGAAGGAAGCCTTTCTTTGCATCTTCCTTCTGCACCTTGTTCACCATCTACAAATTCAGTTGATCCAAAAGCGTCATTTAAAATTGAATCATTTCCTGAATCAACATTGATCTTAGGATTTTGGCAGGATTTTAATGGATTGTTGTTTTTGATTTTTAAGTCTTCCTCTTCATCTGATAAGCATCTACAATTATCAAGGTCATCCATCTCCAAAATTTGACTAGCTAATGAGTCCCTCCAGGATATCCTCATTTGAGATTGAGATAAGGTCTCCAATGTAGAATCTGATGTCCACAAAGCCTGACCACCCAAAACTTTTTGAAACTGGGTGAAATCAGCGGAACTGGGAAGCGAAGGCAAATGATCACACTGAAAGCTTGAATTAGTTGGATCCCATATTGAAACATGGCTCTTAAGAGACAAGCTTGCCCTCTGAAAATCTTCAGCTGCTGTATTGAGCTCAAAATCAATGGTATGTTTCCTAGGATCATTTGCACTCAAACATGAAGCGCCAACTAATCTTTCAGAGTCTATGTCAGACTGTGGGGTTTGAATAACATTTTCACTGCCCAATGAGTCCACTGAGAATGGAGAGTGTACTCCATCAAAATCATCATGCTGCTTTCCCTCTTCTTTCAATGAGCCAGCTCCATAACAAGGCATTACATTTGGAGACGAAGAAACAACCACCACATTCTCACATAAAGAATCCAAGCACTGTCTAAACTGAGGAACTTCACTTGGAGAAGGCAAATACTTCCTACCACTCCCACTAGTACTACCATTAGTAGCACCACTTCCATGAGCGCTGATGTTGCATAAGTCCAAAGAGAATGCAAGACCAGATAACAGTGAAGATGGAGAATTGAGCGTTTTAGGCTCCACCAACCCTTGCAATTGGGAAGACCTAATATCAGAATTCTCCTTCTTATCCTCATCCTCCTCATTACAAGGAGACAATAACCAATGCATTGAAGCCTCAGCAGGTAAAGGGACTATAGAAACCCTAGGATTGTTATCAATGCCAACATGACCATCTTCATGATCAGCATCATCAAAACTATATAAGGCCTTGGGTCTACCAAAGCTTGAAGTATCACCATAATCTCCCACAGCAAGTATCCCTCTAGGCCTACATTTTCTCTTGTCAGTAATCCCAGAGATAACATGGCCGGCAGCATAACAAACAGGTGTGGACACTTTTGTTGACACCACAGTAGACCCACATTGGATCTCTGGAGACAATGATGACTGAATTGGAGGGGTTATAGTTTTACTACTAGTACTACCACTACCTTTTGATTTTTCATTATCCATAACCTTATCATTATCAACAACACCGGCACAATCTAACCCTGATCCTGTCACTAACTTACTCAAAGGAGTAAACTGCAGCTCCTCCGGCTGCTTTAACGATTCTCCACATCCAGAAGCCAACTGATCAGCAGAACTGAGATTGGAATCCAAAAATGAGCAATCATTTGAATTCTGCCCAATTTTTGAACTGGGCTTGTTCACAGACTGCCATTTCTTAACATTCCCGAGTTTCTGCGAAATGGGTGTCTCAGAAACAGCCCGTTTCGTCAAATAATTCTGCTTGACGAAGGGCTTGGATTTAGGCAGCGGCTTAGAGGGGCGTGAAAAGGGAGCAGATTTGGGGGTCTTAACGAGGGATTTCGCCGGCCTACAATTATTGAAAGGAGTTCTTGCAGAAGAAGAGTGAGAGAGAAAGAACCTGAGACAACCACTTGATGCTTCAACCGAAACAGAAGAGGAAAGGCTGCCGCTTCCACTGCTGCTGCTGCTATTACTATCTTTGCCCTTGTTTACCTGTTGCAATGGGTTTCTAATGCTCTGCTTCTTCTTACTCTTCTTCAGTTCCATCATCCCTGGAACCTGAGAGCATTTCTTCTTCTGGATGTTTGATGACGACGATCGGTTCATTTAGACAACATTAAATTCTTTCCCGTTTTGTGTTCGGTCGGGACTGTGCAAGAGGAAATGCTTGTCCACACTCAATGAGCAAGATCTGCGATTTGAAACGGAGTTAGGGGTTGGAATTTTATAAATTCAGCCCCTCTTTTTTACTTATTTGCTAATCTGCCACACAGGTTGAATTTTTTATTTTTTATTTTTTATTTTTTGGGGATTATGTAGGAAAGGATTCCACCCTTTTTCTTTTTTTTTTGTCTGCCGGCCCACCCTCCCCTTCCATCCTTTTCTTATTCTGTATAGAAAAGCAATCATCTTTGACTCCATCCGAGCCGGAGGGAAGCCATGGCAATACCGGCAGAACCTAAGAAGATAATCATAGATACCGATCCTGGGATTGGTAAGCATGTCCCATCATCATCAGATCTCTTAAAATTGTAATTCAGCATCTGGGTATTTTGCTATCTTTTAGATTCCTACGAATCAATGAACATTCTCTAAATCTTTTCGAACTCGGGAAATTAACACTCTCCGAATCCGGTTCCATAATTCTAGTGCAAAAAGATTGGTGCTTTGTGTGTGGTGTTATCCCAGATTCATGTTAAATTGTTAAGTCTCTTTGTTTGAATTATTATGTGTGATTCGGATATATGCATGCAGATGATGCCATGGCAATTTTTGTGGCACTTAGGTCGCCTGAAGTTGAGGTGATCGGACTGACCACTATTTACGGCAATGTTTACACGACTCTGGCAACTAGAAATGCCTTACATTTGGTATGCTGTGCCTATGCGTGTTCCCCCATAGTTTTCTTTCCTTTGTTCCTTTACTTTAGGAGCTGATTTCATACAAATTGCTCTGCTTTTGTCTAGCTAGAGGTTGCGGGGAGGACAGATATCCCAGTGGCTGAAGGATCCCATGTTACAATTACTGTAAGCATTCTTTCCAATCTTAAATTTTCTAGGTTGATTGATAATGGAAATGGAGGAAGCAATAGGATCTTGCTAAGTTTGCCATCCTTGACCATGTATGGGCTTTGCGCTGAAGTAATAGATTATGTACCCTTGGGTTTTACAAATAGAAATTATAATTACATTAAGCTTTTTTCTTTTGTGTCCGTGTTGGTCCTTCAGCAAAAAGAAAAAAATATCCATATTGGTCCATGTAGGGGGTAGTCATGTGAGTTAAAATTATATGCATGATTTACAATAGGTTTTGTCTATGTATGCCCTAAGAAGCAATTATTAGTTAATAATTGTCACTTTTATAAAAAGTAACAATAATTACACAATTATCACTCCTTATCCTATGCCCTTAGGGCATAGGATAGATAAACCCTTTACAATATAGAGAAATTTGTTTCCCTTTTCTTGGAAGGTGGTATGTTCAGCCAGCCATCATGGTCATGGATGTAGTGTATTTACAATGCTTGTTATTCCTTCGGTTCTCCATGCACAGGGCACAAAAATCCTTTTCTAGAATGGAATGATGGTTGTAATACTGAATCTTGTCTATTCTTGTTCTTCTACCGGTCTGATGAGGTTGATGTTGATAACCGTATTGATTTTTCTTTTCCTGTGCAGAAAGGTACAAAACTTCGTATTGCTGATTTTGTTCATGGTGCCGATGGACTTGGGAACCAAAACTTCCCTCCACCACAAGGAAAGAAAATTGACAAGTCTGCTGCTGAATTTCTCGTTGAGCAAGCAAATCTTTACCCTGGAAAGGTCACTGTGGTGGCATTGGGCCCATTAACAAATATCGCACTGGTCTGATTCTTATTCATCTGGTACAAATTTGGCACATTTTCTTGCTTAATGACATTCATAACAGGTTACTGTGGTCTACTTGTTGAGGCAGGCTCTTGAACTAGATCCTTCATTTGCCAAAAACGTTGGACAAGTTGTTCTTCTTGGTGGTGCATTTGCAGTTAATGGAAATGTAAATCCAGCAGCTGAGGCCAATGTAAGCTCCCCAAAGCTCTGCCCATCAGTTTATTGAAATAAAATTAATGTAATTTTTAACTTTTGTTAAATTTTGGACAAAGTGACAACTCTGTTTAGTATAATTTCACCACGCAAGTTCATTTTTCAAAACTTTGTTTGGCAGATTCATTGGGTTGTATCAGTTATATTGTAGGCTTGATCCATATTTCTTTAGTTGAGAAAGATTTCTTGTGATAATGGAAATACTTTGAAAATAAAATGAAGTATCACTTAAATTGTTGTTAATGTGAATATCTTAGTAGCACCTCCTCGCCTCTCACTCTCACCCTTTTAACCCTTGAACTGATTGACCAGATTTTTGGTGATCCGGACGCTGCAGATATTGTGTTCACAAGTGGAGCTGATATTTTAGCTGTAGGGATAAATGTTACCCATCAAGTTGTTCTGACAGGTAATTGTTGTCATTCTCTGTCTTTCCCACTGCTAATTCAGGTTCTTTTGAACAAAACCATATCTAATACTGCTTTCATTTACTTTGTCTGAGGAACCCATAATCAAAATTCCTGACAAATATTTGATCATTTTGGGCAGAACATATGGGAACTAATTGGAGAAATTTAAAATGTCAGAGGAAAGCATTTGATTAACCAATAGTTCTCTATGAGCACTGCACAATCCTAGTTAACCCCATTATTTCATGTTTTGTTTATTTGTTCAGTTTCATACCATTTTGATCCTTCTTGATGCATTGTAGATGCTGACCGAGAAAAATTGGAAAATTCAAGTGGAAAATTTGCTCAGTATTTGTGCAAGATTTTGAATGTCTATTTTGCTTATCATCATGAGGCATACAGCACCAAAGGTTTGTATGCTGAGCCAGGTTAACGCTATTCAGAGTAATCAGAACATTAGCCCACTGATTTATTAACAACAGTTTTCAATCATGCTGTAGGTGTTTACCTTCACGATCCAGCAGCCATTCTTGCAGCCATTAATCCTTCCCTTGTCACATACACAGAAGGTGTTGTGAGAGTCCAAATCACTGGCATCACAAGAGGACTGACAGTATTGTATAACAAGCAAAAGAGGTAGGGTTTCTCTCTCTATATTTCAGATGGCAATTTTGTTACTTTCACCTTGGGTGACTAGAATTGAATACCTAATGACAGTCTTTCACAGATAGGAAACATTTCTAGAATCAAATGCCTAGTGATAATTGACCCTTCAAATCCTGGCTTGTAACAGCTCCAACACGATCCTTACTGACTTATTTCTTGTCGACTAGGTTTGGTGAAGTCACAGAGTGGTCAGATAAACCAACCGTGAAGGTGGCTGTCACAGTAGATGCTCCAGCCATTGTCAAACTAGTTATGGACAGGCTGATGGACTCCTGATGTGTAGAGATAGGAGCATGCTAAATTGCTAATAATCAAGTATGCTCTATTTGGTTGCCAGTAGACTTTGATCGTGAATTGTATCATTGTTGCCAATGGCTCTGAAAGGTGCAACTGCAAGAAGCATCTGAATTTCTAATTGCTTTGATAATGATTTGGCATGGATGCTTGTAAGCTTTTACATCTCTATTCACTTGCAATAATGAATTGACGACCTTCTATTTTATGGGATCAATCTAACAGCTAGACCAAATTGAAAGAAACCAAAAGTTTATGGACTTGATAGAATGAGAGAAGATCAAGGACTAAAGTGAACTAATATGAAAAAATTGAGAACTACAATCGATGTTTACAGCCATGAAAGATTTGGCACGAAACCCGAGGTTCCGACATGCGAGATTTTGGAAAATTGAAACGGGGTTCGGAGAAAGATTTGATTTTGACGCTGGGAATGTTGTTTTGGGCTGAGGTGATGGCCAACTATAATTTTGTTAGGCTACCAATTTTACATCAGTGTATAGTTTTTTCTTAAGTTTTTTTTTTTCTCTTTTTTTTAATGTAGTTAGTTATAATATTTGTAATTTTATCAATTTTATTTGTTTAAAATTATTTTTAATATATTAAATAATAAATATTAACTGTTTTATCAAATTAACTTATAAAATTATTCTTTTATACTTTATGGTGACATTCATGATTTTGAACAGGATTATAAATTAAATATGTAATTTTTAGTTAGAATATTACTTTTTTTTTAGATTTTGAGGTTGCAACTTCAAAATATATTAAATTTTACTGGAATTCAAAAATATTAAATCTTTTTCATTGAGGTCTCCAAATTTTGAACTGCATTGTTTGTGTTGAAGGCTATGAGAAGTATGAGGGAGATGTAGCTAATATATCTCCTAAATAGCTTAAGTTCTAAACATGACCTCTAGTACTGTCCTTGTCTTTGCAGGGAATTTCGTATGGGTTCAGTCTTTTAGCTGATAAGGTAGCTTTTATTCCTTCACTTATGGATTCCTTTATATTTCGTCTGCATTAACGTTGCTAAGGCATCTCTTGATTGATTGAAAAAGATTTATGTCAAAATTGTATATCATCAAAGTTCATTAATCATTATGCTTTCTAATTTTTATTTCAACCTGATTTGCGATATTAGTTTGCCCTCTGTGTTGTCCATATCACATGAGGTCATTCTGGATATCTTAGCTGCCTGATCACTTGATTCTGTAATGGCCACTTATCATCATCATTGGCATTACCCACCTGTCTTACCATAAATTTTTAACCTATAACCTATTGGTTGAGTTCTTCCATGCCATGGAGCACGTACTTATAACATGGTACTACTTGCTTCAGTTTCAACAAAAATCATCTGACATCACCTTTCTTAGGTTAATCTTCTAGCTAGAAAGTTGGTAGAGCCATACTCGTGTGATTGTCTTCCCTTGAGTGGATCTTCCACTGATGCAGATGTAGAGGAGATTGCTCGTGCATGGTGTGACATTAGAGGGAGTATTTTGTATCTTGCCCCTAACCAGGATACTCCACATAAAATAAGTTGCAGTTGGCTGACAATTAATCAGGGTCAGCACTGTTGAACCTTTATATGTATATTCATTCTGTTTCTTGCCTGCTACCTTGTGCTTTGAACTTATAGTAAATCTAGTGCTGAAACTGGGTTCTCCTTTCTTCTCAGATGTTGAAGTTGCCAATTCCTGTCCAAAATCAAGTAGGCTTGATATTGACAAACTAGATGAGCTACCTTTTACTATTTCCCACTTAAATAAAAAGGTCACCGCACATGAATTTTTTCTTGTATTACTCCCTACATATATTTACAAAAAAAAAAAATGCAGTATCCTCGTGTACTTCCAAATCCACATATACCCTACACCGCAAAACGGTAAAGTGTAATTATATGCATTCAAAACAGTACTGAACTTAAATGTTAGAATATATAATGAATAATGTATAAATTGTCCTGATACATACCATTGATTTGTCCAAGGATATATAATGAACAGTTTCTTCCACATTTTACGCAGGTAATGGACGAAGACGTTGTCACAGTTGGTTACATTATGAAACCATCTCGTGAAGAAGATTTTGTTAAGGTAAGTCACTTTCGTTTAAAAATTGCATATTCTGTATCTGGGAAGAAAAATGGAATAGTTCTGATGTAAGAAAATATTAACTAATGATCAATATATCATGTGACTCAGTCTGGTTCTGGGCCTGGTCTGATTGATGAGCAACTGGGTTTGTTTATTTTAAGTGGTGGTATCATGGTTTGATTTCTTCTAGCAATATTCTTCTCATGGCTTACTCAGCAGTGAAAGCACCTTGACAGTACTTTAGGCTTATTCTTGTAGTTTTTCAATGTTCATATTTAATCATATACTCTATGACTGAGGAATTATGGTATTGTTATATGAAACTAATTGGTCGTTGGCTTTGCTGGGTAGCAGTTAGCTATTTTGCTAATCGAAATAGCCAGTCATGTGCTCTAGACATGGAGATTATGTATCCTGTCTCAGGTTTTGGATAAGATAAGATAAATGAAAATTATTCAACAAGTTTGTTCAAATCATCTTAGCAAGGATTATCAACTTTTCTTATTACATTTGAAACTTATGGTGATGGCTAAAAAAATAAAACTTATGCTTAATTTTTGCTGAATGGATATCCTAAAGTTTGTGTTTCTCCTTTGTCTTACTTACATCTTGAGCTCAAACGTGCAGGTTAACAATTTTGATGAGCCTGATTTTGCAAAAGACTGCTTGAAGCTAAATTGTCTCTTCCAAGTATTGTGAAACCTCGAGTTGCCTGTGGTGTAGCTGATGCTCACAGTATGGTAATTATTTTCTTATTTCATTGTCATACTACTCAATACTCGAATAGTTACATCATTACAGAGAGAAACTTATTGAGTTACTGAAATTTGATTTATATCTCTATCTCTCTCTTTCCTTTTTAATTCCCCCATCTCAGCAGAACAACTCCAGTTTGGAAAATCTGTGGCAGTATTCCTCCATAAGGTCTTAGTGTTGCCTTCTATTGTCAGGTCCCGATAGGACAGAAGTTCACATTTTCTTTGCCCGATATCAATTAGAATGAGCTATTTTAGTTTGTATCATTGGATGTCTCTGGTTCTCAACAAAGATATTGATGTAATCCTAGATAGCATTTTGCTAAATACATAACCTCATTGCTCTGCTTTCAAAACTTCACCTTGCATTCTCAATTAATCCAACATGAATACTTGGGCTTTCTTTTGAGATTTTATATAAAATGATTGTGAATTGGAGTTTGAAGTTTGATGTTGGGGTTCAGTATAAATGAGCCATATTTATTAGAGCTTCTCATTTCCTTTTCTTTTCCCATCCTTTTGTTAAACAAAGCTTAATCTTGATATAACAGGCAATAGTCTTTAGAGTTGAAGACTTCAAGGATTTGAATGTTCCAATTCCTGCTGTTGTTCAGGTGAGCATGTACTAATTTTTAATGTTGTTTCCGTAACTCCTTGTCTTCCCATGTGGTCCAGTGATTGATATTATTTAATCCCTCTCTCATTTGTTTAAAAATTGTAAATCCTTGCCATTACCCGAATTTGCATTTCTCATTCTTTTATGTAGAAGCATATGCCACAGGGAGTTCTTAATCTTTGATTTTTCTGAATTTCTTTAATGTGAGATTATCTAATGAAGGTTGCTAGTTTCCTGATGACTTTTACTTCTTCTGCAATATGATTGTAATTCTTTAATTCAATCAGGTTCCAATTGTGGATCTAAAACAGGAAATTTATGGAACTGCAGGAATATGTGGATCATTCATCCACTCTATTCAAGTTTTATGTCCTGGGTAAACGAGTTTTCCAGGCAGTAAAGAAGTCTACACCAAATGCTGATGTTCTGATGAAATTATCTGAAAGAAATGGACTGAAACCTATACTGTTTGACAGGTAACCCTTCTCACAATAACTTAGCTTTCTGGAATAATAGTTTAGATCATCTAATGAAATTCCTCTAAATGATCTATTCACAGCCTAAAATCTCTACCTACTGATACTGGAAACCAGCATTCTGGAGACCAGGATTGGCATATTAATCTTGGACTCGTCACCAGGGCTGCAAAGTGGCTTTCAAGGACACTTGATCTGACCATCTTTGGGTTTGATGTTGTCGTAAGTAGCTGACATGGTCTACATATTTTACTTTGTTAAGCCATCTCCACTTGTATCACCAAGTTGGGCCTATGCTTCTCAAATTTAAAGGAAAACAAAAATTTATACCTTGGTTTCTCATTTACATTCATTCAGATTCAAGAAGGCTCTGGTGATCATGTCATTGTTGATGTGAACTACCTCCCATCATTCAAAGAAGTTCCTGATGATGTTGCCATACCAGCCTTTTGGGATGCTATTAGAAATAAGTTGGATTCAGAAGCAATTCAAAAACAATGAAACAAAGCAACCCGGTCTCTATACCTTCACCAGTGAGCAGAAGATTGAGTTAAAACAGGTCTGAAGTAATCATCTATGGTTCCAGTGCGTATAATTGGGCTCTCAGAAGCGTGGCATCAAGACAAATATTTGAAGATCTAAAGCTTTTTTTTATTTAAAAAAAAAAGGGAAAAAAAAATACTAATAATAGATCTGGCCTCTAATACATGCTTCCTCAAGGTAAGTGTCAAAATTTTCTTTTGAAACAAAATTTATCAATTCACCACTTGCAAATATTTTATTGGTGAAATATTATTAATGAGTCAATATCCTTGAATTAAGTTGAATATAATCTCTACCAATCAAGTAAAAAGGGAGCTATCTACCCCAAAATTAGAGAAGATATACATATTTTTAAGAATATAAATTAAATCTTCTTAATTATGATTTTTTTAGTTTTTTCTTACAAAATTTTA